GATAGTCAAAGCATGTTAAATAAATGGTATGTTATATTTGCATTTAAAAACTGTCAGGTAAAAGTGTTTTATGTAAATTCGGATCACGAGTCCACATATATGAACATCATTCTTCCCTAAAAGTGCATCGTATCAAAAGATCATACTTAGGTTTTATTCTAATTAGGTACTAAAAAGCCCAAATAGCAAAGAAAAATAAAAAATGCATTAAAAAACATTAAGAGGTTAAATATCCTCATATTATTTAACTTGACATTTTAATCCCTATTGTGTGTTTGTTTGCTGCTGAAAAAAACAATTTTTAGCTCATCTGACCATAGAAGCTCCTGTTTGAAGGTCCAGTTGTGCTGAATATGCTGCAGTTTGTTTCTGAATGAGTGCAAATTATTTTTTATTTTTTGATAAATCTGTCCCCATCAAAATGTCTTTTTTGTTTTGTTTTTCCAATTTTCCACAAACTCCTCTCCTCAAAGTGCATCAAGACAATACAGACACATGCAAATCCTCTCTTTTTGTTGGGAACTTCTCAATTAAAGGCCTAATAGTGGAATTTTCAACACTTTACCTATTATTTCACAGCTACTTTCTATTTTGTGAAGCCTAACAATCTTTTTTTCTGCACATCAAATCTAAACTCTTTGCTTTTACTGGTTGTGATGGATGAATATTGGAATTTAGCAGATTTATATTTACTGCATTATTTGCTCATATTTACCAAGGGTTTGTCCAACTTTTGACCAAGACTATATGTATGTATAGTATTACATGAAAGGCTGCTCTTTGCTGCATTTAAACACTTCTGTTGGAGGACGAATGAAACATGTTTTGAAAGCGTATTTGCTGGATTCCCAGTGCACCGTGTTAAAGCGTCATACACATTGTTTAGTTCCAGCTATGGTCCAGGAGAGGACACGTCCGAGACCACGACAAAAGCTGAGCACACTTCTCTCATTGTATTATTTGTCCTCTCCTCAGACACTCCGTCAGCTCTTTCATTTGGACCGTGTATGTTTTTCGTAATCCATTTTTTTCAGCCATGTCTGACTGCAAAACATCAAAGAAGAACCAATCGTGAAGTGTACTGCTCAAATAAACAAAATAAACAGGATTAATGCCACATTTTAAGGTAAATAAATAATTTTATTTAAGTAATTAGGGTGTGAACGAAAAGATGAATGAATCAGAGAGGCAGCCCCACTTTATAGTAGGTGTCTTTACATCTGTCAACAAATGTAATTGTTTCATACAGTAGACTAATGTATTGCTAAACAAGTTAAGGATATGACAAGTCTACAATATCAAATTATTCATTTAAATATTTATTTATTTAAAGAAAACTCCACGGATTCTCTTAAACTAAGTCATTTATTTATTTAATTTATTTTCTAATTCTATAATGAACTGTATAGGGGTATGATTTAGCAGAGTAAACACAAATTATTTGGGTAACTCTTTTGATTAAGTACAAATTCAAATTGTTAATAGAAGCTTATTATCTTCATGTTATTAAGATATTGGCTGCTTATTTCTATTTTTAAAGTACAAATTTTTGCTGCATCTCTAATCCTACCCTCAAAGCTAAATACTACCTTAATAATTTATGTCAAGCAGCAAATGAGCAGTTTATTAAGGCAAAATTGATTGTTTATGGTGTGTTAACTAGAAATGTACCTTAAAATGAGGTGTGACCATCATTGGTTGTAATATAATATGTGACCAATTCCTACTTTTAACTAGTTGCTTGTAAGCTTTTAAATTGGCTGTTTATTAGTAGTCGTAATGCGTGTTAATGTCCAAATGATGAAATTTGACATCCTTTAATCATATCCCATACTTAAGCTTAACCACTACAATAACTGCCTTGTTAGCTATTAATTTAATAAGGAGCAAACTTGGAGTTTATTAAAAGAAAAAATGGATGGAAAAATACATCTATTTAAAGTATCGTAGACAAACCAAAGTAAGACCTAAATAGGAAAAACACCACAAATTAATCGTTTTAAGAGAAACGAAACAATAAAAGGAGGTAAAATTAGCTGATGCATTCCAACGGTGAATCAGTTTTAAGGGATTGAGTTATAAAAGTGTATTTATTGGGTCCGCTTGTGCACACTTTTTCTCGAAATACTCAGTACCGACAAATAATATTAAAACAGGGTTCATGTCAAAATGGAGTTTTCACATGGCATTTTCCAGGCCTGGAAAAGCTTTGGAAAAACAAGGTTTAGGTAAAAGTCATGAAAATTACATTTACATTTAGTCATTTAGCAGACATTTTTGTTCAAAGCGACTTAAGCTGCAGTCACACTAGAGTTTGTCCTTGTGAAATTCTGTCATATGGCACTATGAAAAGAGGTGGTATCAAACAATATGATAAGATGTTATTGAAAGTAAGCGATTGCTCCATAGTTTAATTTTATTTTTAACTACCTTCTATTGGTCTAATGCAATCACATGATGCGATTTCACAGGTAAAAATTCAACATGCTTGACCTTTCGAATGCAGTGAAATGTGAAACTTGTCACACGTGCTTGCGTTTCTGGTCTGCCACATTCGCACACCTATAAAAGGAAGTCTATGGAACGAAAAGTGCAGTGTGATCGCTGCTTTACAATAGAAGTAGTTTTACCTACTATTACTAGTTTAACAAACTATTAACAACATCTAAACTTAGTTTGACAAATATCTGTATGCTGGAATGAAGGTTAGATATTTTTACTTCTTTTCTTGGCCAAAACATGGTCTCACATCATTTGTGCTGTGTAAGCATCATCTATTTTACATGGATATAAAAATAAATTAAAACTAAAGAGGTTGTTGCGTGTTTTATGATATGCTGTGATAAATCTAAACGTTCCATGGAAAAGCCATGGTATTTTTGTAGTAAAAATGTGTATGAACCCTGTTTAATTCTTATAATTTACAACGTATATGTATTCTTTTCTGCTTAGTCCCTTTACTAATCTGGGATTGCCACAGTGGAATGAACCGCCAACGTATCCAGCATATGTTTTACACAGCGGATGCCCTTCCAGCTGCAACCCATCTCTGGGAAACATTCATTCAAAACATACGCATTCATTCACACTCATACACTACGGACAATTTAGCCTACCCAATTCACCTGTACCACGTCTTTGGACTGTAGGGGAAACCGGAGCACCCGGAGGAAACCCACGCGAACAAGGGCGGGAACATGCAAACTCCACACAGAAATGCCAACTGACCCAGCCGAGGCTCAAACCTGTTGCTTGTGAGGCGACAGCATTACCTATTGCGCCACTGTGTCACCTACATGAAACATTAGGCCATGAAAATGGACTTAAAAGTCCTGGAAAAGTCATGGAATTTTTGTAGTAAAAATGTGTATGAACCCTGTTAAAACTAATTCAATTGAACACTTAACCTGGAGTTCATTAAGATAATTCGAATAAAAAATAGATAATAATAGATAATGGTAAAATGCACTTCTCAAACCAGAAAAATGTAAACAAGATTGAAAAATGCTAAGGCAAAGAAATTATTAAATTAGCAGTTTGCTTCCAAATCAACAGTAATGTTTTATTTTAAGTTTAATAAAAAATCTAAAGCAAGTTATCTTGGAATATTGATGACAGATGATAATATAGCTAATTCCATTTTCATTTACATAGACTGCATACAAACTAAAAAATCACCTACTATTTATAAAAACTATAATAGCATCAGTGACACTAAAGTAATCCTGCAGGTATCTAAAGTGCACAAACAAAAAGATATGACAGGAATAAAGCAGCATTAATGGAGCCCTGAAACTCACGGTGAGCTTTTGGAGAAAAAGAGCGAGTCTGCAGAGACTTGGTCCTGCATTCCTCTATTGATTTTCCCCTGCGAGACGTATTGTACCTCAAGATCTCATGCATTAGTGCAGGAGGTGCACTCGAGTCGCACAAAAGATGGCAGAACAATGTATTTAAAAAACATGGGGCTCTAACTAATGGCAGGTCGTGGGCAGAAAGCGGGGTCATTTACCCTTCTGATTAGGTACGCCAGTCAGTTCCAGGCAAAGCGTGATTTAAAATCATGTCCCGCTTGAACTACATTCTCCAGCAAAATGATCTAATTTAGCGATTTATTCATATTTACTGAGTGTACCGGCATTACATTTGTATAGATCACATGGTGGGTAAAAACAGAAATGGGGAAAATCGAATCAGAAGCCAGAGACGTGGCCGCCTGACGCACCGACTCTACATCGGAGGCTCTGCCGGGGTCACTTCCATGCTTTTTATGATGTCGCTTTGAAATCTATCCGAATCACATTAAATTGGATATAAAGATGTGCAGACACATACATCACAGTAAATGGTGTGCCAGAGCACTGCTCGTGGAGAATCCCACCTCAACAATCGGGTTATAAAATCGGCTTCAGATCCGATTAATAATTTACAATCCTGTTAGGGGAGAACAAACATTTCTGTTCAAGCAATTTAAGTTGCAGGACTGTTATTAAAGGCCGCTGTTGGCTTTGGCGGGGGCCGGAGGATCGTCTGGGGGATGAGAGAGAGAGAAAGCTAAGCCTCCTCCAGCCCTCTGTGCCACAGAATAACTATGTTCTATTTCACACTCTATGCTTTCTTTATTAAAGCGCCATCGCAGTATAAGCACATATTGCTCAGCGTCTCCTCTTGGAATTTGCCGTGACTGCAGCCTTGCGCGGGGAAACTTTCTGTCCACTTTCTGTCCTAATGACTTTATAATGGCGGACGTTTCAATGGAGCTCCAAGTAAAATGAGCTGGTGCTCCTGCAATCAAGGGCTCGATGGGGCTTTGTGCATCACCCATCACTAATTGACACAAAGGAGACAGATTTGCCTTTTCTCAGAGGGCTGAAAAGAGCCTGTTGGCCTTAATGGAATTGTGTTTTTTTATGTGCTTGTTTTAGGTTTTGGGGATAAGAGTGATACTATTAAAGGATACCATATAAAATAAAATAAAAAAAAAATGCTTTGAGAGGCGATTATTTAATTTCAGCATTTTATTAGGAAAGATGATAGTGAGCTGGCCAGTGTGGTGCGGGTTTTCTTTAGTTTGGTAACAGTGACCTCTAGTGTCCACACAGGAACAGCCCACCAGACCTGAGAAAAGCCTGTGCAGCTCTGTGGCAAGCTGGAAACATTTGTTCTGTGTACTAGTATTTTAATACTCAATACTTATTCGAATGCTACTAGTGCTTATTTATTAGATATTAATTATCCTTTATTAGACACTAGAGCCTATTAAATAGGCACTTACTTGGTACTTATCGGTTAGATGATTTTATTATGCCTTGTTCCCACTGAGCAGTACGGTTCAGTACAGTACGAGTTGGTGTATGGAGCTAATAATAATTTGCCAAAACAATCTGAATTTGAATTGTGTTCATCTAAATTATGGAAAATTGTAATTTAACAAATCGTAATTTTTATAAGCCAAAATCTAAATTTCTGAATTTGTTAAGATAACTAATTTTGAATTTTGCATTTGAATTTTAAATTTGTTCAGATAACTAACATGAACAAATACTGTAATAAATGCATTGTTCATTATTTGTTCAAGTTAGAAATGCATTAACTTACATTAACCAATACAACCTTACTGTAAAATGTTACCACATAAATAATAGTACTTATTCGTTAGATACTAGTACTTCTTGCAATGTTGACTCATAAATTATATACTGAAATAAGTTGTTTACGTCCCATAGTACTACTTGCCACAGTAGCTTACATTCTGGAAGATCTTTAAGAAGTCATGTAACAGGAATACAATATGAACATGCACTAAGTGAATATTTCTCATGCAAATCTATAGAGAGAGAAACTACATATATTAGCACCCAAACGATTAAGAACAAAGTGACAAATGTGTTCTAGTTACTAACTACTGTGTGTCATCACATTTTTTTGGATTTATGAACACAAGTTCAAATCACTAGGAAACATTTTCCAGTTTTACAAAAATATATATCACTGAATCAAAAAGCAGAACATCATATTGTGCCAGTCATGGTGTTCGGTGGCTGATCTAGAAGTGTTTCTCCCATTCCGATCAAGTTTATAAATAGTTTTTACGATTTACGCGGGTCCAACAGTGGCTTCGTGAGAGTCCAAACCTACAATCATACTGCTGTACATCTTCTGCTGCTCCTCCTTGAATGATTCTTTCACCTTTGACCTCTTCAGTCCTCCATCCCTGCAACACAACAACAATGCTTTATCTATGGCAAATATACATAACCTATAGCAATTTGTAATTGTGATTTATTGGCCATTTGTTGGCCATTTTAAACATTTAGTTTATTCATTATAATTTATATTACTGTATATAGCACGACATGGAACACTATACATTGTATAGGGATGTTTATATTCTTACCAGGACAAATCCACCAGTCCTCCTTGATGTGCTATGGCTGACTTCACTCTGTTAGCAAAATGAACAGCATCCTCTCCATCCTACAAAAGACATGTTCAAATATTTTTCATGCAATTAAAGTTTAGACATATCTACAATGACTGAAATGTCATCAAAACTTACATAATTATCATATAATGTTACAATTAATTCATAGAATTAATAGCAAATTAATGAAATTTTAATTTATCTGAGATTTTACATTTCATAAACATTTTAAGTTATGGTTAATGTGAACATTCTTCAAAATATCTGATATTTAGGCAAAAAAAAATTAGGCAAGTTTTTTTAAACAATGTGCAGGTTGTTCACTTTGTTTCATTATTTATGCGTAAATATTAAATTATTTAAATAAAATGATGCACCTAAAAAAAATAATTGCCACTAGATGGTGTGTTCATTTGTCATGACTCTCTTTATGAAATGGGACATTGAATCTTTGGCCCCGTTTACACTGTCAGGTCTTGATGCTCAATTCCGATTTGCTGCCTATATCTGATTTGTTTGCCTATCTGTTTACATGTTGTTTTAATTGTGACCCATATCCATTTCATGCGTTTACACTTGCCATAAAACTTATGATGTTGCACATGCAAAAAGGCGGATTCTAGGATCTGTGCCACACTAGCCACGATGGAAGAAACTGTCTTGTTTTTAGCTCTGCAAAATACGCGAAGTGTAGTATAAGCAGTGAATGGTTTAGTCCAGATTTACCCCTATGCAGTAATGGTATGGCCCTGATGTGTGTGTGTGTGTGTGTGTGGTTGAAGATGTAGCCTTTGCCTGTGTGCGCACTGATGTTAGAGAGAATAAAGTTATTCTCTGTGTAGCCCGCAGTGCGTATATTAACAGCGACAAAAAGCAAAAGTTACAACACGAAGTTTACCCAACTTTAAAATGATTTTGAGGCGAAGGAGGTGGGAAAGAGCCGTCATCGCAGTATGCGCTTATGGTTTATATGCTTTATGATGTCCTCCACTATTCAGAGGAATTTGTGGGTACGAGAGAGACCTCAGGTCTGTTGGGAGCAAATTGTGGCGACTGACCACTTTCCTCCTCTGTGTTTCTTCTGATGTAGTTTACCATGTCGGCATCTCCACACACGCTCTTCCTTCTACATCCTTAAACCGTGGAGAAGCACCACATTGTCGCAAGTTTGATGATGTACAGAACGGAATGCCTCAATAAATCTGATCTACCTGTTCACATGACAGTCGCATTGTCACATATCCGATCTATATCTGATTTATTTTCACATATGAAGGAGGCCTGAAACCGATCTCTGAATATCCGAATGCATGCATTTTTTTGTTGTTTACACGGTCATAGAACTGATCCGATCTGTGTCACATTTGAGCAAAAAATCAGAATTGGGTCACATTTAACTGACAGTGTAAACGGGGCCTTTGAATCACTCAGATACACTACAGCTCTTGACTGTTGTTTTCATTAGAAAACAGAGAATATTGTATCAGCATTATATATATATATATATATATATATATATATTTAAGGGAATACATGTACATGTCTGTAGGAAAAAATTGACTTCTTTGGTTTTCTTTTATAAATAAAAAAAGGCAGACAATGTCTTTTGTGATATGCAAAAAATAGTTTTTCTCAATTATCAAATTTCTGGCGTGAGCATCCCCACTTACTAATATATGAACAAGTGGTTTGTAGAAAGGACGAGATGAATGTTTGTTACCTGTTGAGTCATAGGTGGCAGGTACCACACGTTGCACACAATGGCCCAGCTTGTCATCATTCTGAGGATGTAGCTCACCATGTTGTATTTGGCACTGTTCCAGAAGGCATCTCCAAAGCGAGGGTCATACTGAAAAAGAGCTGAACGTCAGAGGCCATTCTGAGAGTAACCACTATACTACATTCTGCAGAAAAACACTCACTGTCACCGGCATTTGTTACCTTGATTGCTACTGGGTATATAGTTCCACCAAATTCAAAGCTTCCCTTTTTGAACATCATGACTGATGTATTATTAATGCAAGTTCCTGGAATCAACACAAAGACAAACAATAGGGACTTTAGGAATTCCAATCCAGAAAATGTTGGGAATGTAAATCGAGTCTAGTTTGTTAACTTTTTTTAACATTTATCTATTAGACTTTTATCTATTAAACTTTCACTGATTTAGCCTGGTTTTAGCCAGAACGTCTTTGTTTGGATGTCTCTTATAGTGATGTGCGATCCCACTGGTTTCCTATGTGATCCGATACCAAGTAAAATGAAGGCGAGTATCAGCGATGCCGATCCGATACTTTGCCCAAAATGACTGTTAGAGAAATTAAAGTAACAAGTAGTGTGCTTGAAAGTGTCACTATATACTGAATACGAGACATATTATGGGTTATTCTTGTTGATTATATATTGATGAAGAATTATCATACAAAAAAAATCAACTTACATATTACATTTCTGAGCATGTATATCTTAAAAAGCCTGCCTGAACATCTTAACATAAAACAATAAACATTCACACCTTTTGGTTTAGTGACATGTTAATCCGGTCCCCTTCAAGATTTTTAACCTTTTTCCATTGCTTTATCATTGTCACAAAAACAAGTAGTTCCAACTAAGTTGCCATTATTCAGATAAACCAGGGTAATTTTGGTTACTTTAAGCTGTATTTCTATTTTTAATTAACTACAAATTTGCTCCAAATTACTGAAGTATCGATATTTTGATAAGATAATCGATTCTACAACATACAAAGCTGGTATCGGAGATATCCATATTATCCACATCACTAGTTACTTAGGCACAAATAAATGCTTGCTGGCAAACAGTTAAATACTGTAAAGGGAAATGTGACACTGTTAAACTTGTCTCTGTCACATTACATTTTTGGAGTGTATTGTCAGCATCAAAGTCAATTTGTTCATATTTACAGAATTTGGTCAGAGAATTTTTTTTTTGTAATTTTGTAAGTATAATAACGTTTAAAGAGATTGAACAAATGAATTGGTTTAATTGGCAGAATTGCTATTATATACAATACATTATAGACCTGTATAATCACACAAATGTAAGTTTTTTTTACCCTCAGGGAAGATCAAGATTGGCAGCTTAGTTTTATCTGAAATATGGTCTTTCAACCTGTGGAAAAAAGCAGAAGCGGTGCTTTATGTTGTGAATGAGGAGATATATTATATTTCCACAAGACAAATCAACACACCTTTTGGCAACGGCATGGCGATCTTTCATCTCAGACCTCTCAAACCATACATGGGGACAGGAGCGCACCATTGACCTCTGGATGACCCCCATGAGGCCTCCATGAACTTGACCTACCTGAGGAGAATGAAAGCCAGTTAAAGACACCTGAGACCTTCTGCAGACGCGCAATGTCACACTGGTGATGCAGTCGGCGTGACTCACCATAGCGTAACATCCATCATTCGCCAAGATGACAATGTCAATCGGGGAAGTGTGGTTGGCAACACAGATGCCTCCTTTTTTCGGACGGTTCTCTCTGTTATGCATCCCATGAGACAAATGTAAGTAACAGCAATCATCAAACTATACACTATATATTAAGGAGTGTTGAAGAGAAAAAAAGGTGTGTTTGCATTGGCCGAGAATGGCATCTCTCAATGTCATGCTCTTAAATACACTGTAAGCCACATAGCTGCTTTTTAAATAAACAAATGCTATTTTGCATTTAGTCATTGTTTGCAGGGTTTATCAAGGTTTCCTTGGAAATAAAAATTAGATGAGATACAGTAAAATCTTTTGAAACTGATCAAAACAAAGTGAGAATATGGTTAAAACAATATTCATTCATTTTCCCTCGGCTTAGTCTCTGTTTTAGAGGTTGCCACAGCGGAATGAACTGGCAACTTATCCAGCTTATGTTTTACACAGTGCATGCTTCCAGTCGCAACCCAGTACTGGGAAACACCCATACACACTAATTCACACACATACTGATTCACTATGGACAATTAATTAAGTTCACCTTTAGCGCTTGTCTTTGGACTTGGAAACCCACGCCAACACGGGGAGAAGATGCAAAGGTTAAAACAATAGATATTTGCCAAATATTTCATATCTGGAAACATTTAACATTTATGGCCAAAAGACTTTCTTTCTTATGGCCTTAAAACAGTGTATTGAAACTTTTTAAGACCCACATAAATCGGGAGCAGTTTTACTTTCTAAACGTACCCAAAAGTGCTGTAAAAATATGCAATGTTACCTAAAGTATACTTAAATACTTAAAAATACTTAAAATAATTAACTTAAAACTGCTATATGTAAGTTTTTGACTCTTCTAAAGCATAAAATACCATAAGTTTGAAGACATTTAAGAAACATGCCAAGTGAAAATTCTTTTTTATCTGAAAAACAATCCTGAAGTCAGATTTTCTGCTTTGAAAATGTGTTTTCCGACTTTGTTATGGTAATTTTAACCTGCCCAATGCTGCCATATTATATTATATTATATTATATTATATTATATTATATTATATTATATTATATTATATTATATTATATTATATTTTATTTTATTTTATTTTAATTTATTTTATTTTATTTTACCGGGTTGCCTTGATGGAAAACTACATATTTAATTCATTCATTCAGAAAGGCTCTCAAAGCATGTGTCCATAAGAGAAATGCGACCTCCACTGGACAACAGCAGACTCCAAAATGAGACGCAGATTCCACATGAGGTTATTAATTAGCAAATAATATAAATATTACGAACATAAACATTTGGTAAGAAAGTTACATTGTAACCCCGTGTGTCCAAACAACACGCTTCATGAGGAGATACAAAGTGATGAGCAATTTGGCTGTTTGCACCAGTCATACAAATACAATAAATACAGCCTTTCAGAAGCACAGAATATGCATTCACTCACGAAATGGAAAGGTTTATAATGGTTTATAAAGGTTTATTTCAAGATCTGAGGTGAACTATCTGCTGCTGCTTTCAGTAGTATGGCAATACATGTCATGTAAAATGGTATTTAAACTAGCATTGTTAGCATTTAACACTGAATGAAGCACAGGTTTTCTGTTGTTCACATGTGAGAAATAAAAGCCATTTCTAAAATATCAATTTGAGGTGTTGGTTAGGACAAAAACTCCTTTTAATATGGAAAATATTCCTTTTATCATATGCCAATGCTTTAATTTAGAACACGGTTTAAATCACTCACTCATGTCCTCTATCTGTAAACCACTGGGTGTCAAACTTACATACTGCACCTTTAAATACTTTTAGAAAAGTCCCACAGTGAATAATATTTAATGTTTTAGTCAACTGTTTGGGTATTTGTTTTACATTTGCATGCATGAGAGATAAAGCGAATGTGAAGAATACTGAGAAGCAGAGGGGAACTGAACACAGTGATATAATGGGATTAAAGTGGAAAGACTGTGTTAAAAAAAGAAGCAGTGACTCACTTATTATGATAACGGATAGTAGCAGACAGGCCTCTGGCACATATTCTGTAGCATGTAATATGAACTAAATCACTGAGCCAGTTCTTCACCCTGCAAAAGACAGACCTTCCCTTTAGGAAATTAAGCATTTCACCAATATATAGCAAACAGTTTGGACTTGAGAGAACTTAAAGTTATTGTACACAACAATAAAGGTTCTGAATTATAATTTATGGTTCCACAAAGAACCTTATATATTTATTAATAATATATTTTATTGGTTATTTGTTAAAAGGTTTTACTGTATGACATTTCTATGAAAACCAGTTGTGGAGCTTTTATTTTTTAAGTGTTATGGATTATTCAATTGGTCTGTAAGATTAAAACAACATTATATCATTCATAATGACATCCAGTATTAATTACTTGCTGTTTGGAAGAAATCCAACTAGAGTAGTTCCAATCACCAACCAGCTCAATCCAATGACTGCTAAAGTGATCCTATGACAAAGAACAATAGCATGATTTAATATACTCAAAAAAACATTTAGCTGACATTTACAGGTCACAATAATCAGAACTAGGAGCAAGAGATTAACTTAAGTATAAAGAAAATGATTTGACAATGCAAGTTTATACTGTTTGCAGCTGAGGAGAAATTAGGAAAACACTTAGAAAAAATAGAAAACTGAAAATTCTCAGTTCATCTGCATTTAATAGGTATAACTTTGAGTAAAATATTAATATTTGTAATATTCTATAAAGGTCTGAAAGCATTTCTTCCTAATTTCACACAAATGTATTGCAATTTAAGGCACTTTTATTTATTTGTTTATTTTTATAATTAATTAATTTATATATATATATATATATATATATATATATATATATATATATATATATATTTTTTTTTTTTTTTATTTTTTTTTTTTTTATTTAAGCAAACAACCGAATAGCCATCATATTAAAATATTTTTTATTTATATATATATATATATTTTTTAAACATTGGCATTGTTTTGTCCAAAAATAATTATAAACATGTCAGAATATAGCATATATTTGTTATTTAAGCTAATTTAAATTAAATTATAAGTAATCTTATCAGGACTTTACAGAAAAAAAAATTAATTGAAAAAAAAAAGTATTTTACTCAAACATCAGTATAAATTGTAAATCCAGAGAAACAGAGTAGTAGAGAGTAGTCTGTATATCTTTATATATAAGTCTCTTGCTGCCTTATAATTTATTTGATAAATATAATTGTAAAACAGTAATATTGTGCTGTAATATATAATAATACTTTTTAAGCATGTTTTGATGAATACAAGTTGGCTTTGCAACAGTGTTAAAGTCTTCTCTGTCACTTTTGATCAACTGAATACATCCTTGATGATCATATCATAGCATAAAACATGTCTTTTCAATTGGAAATAGCACTCACCTGAGAGGCAATAAGACACAGTAACGTACAAAAACTCCCAGGCCCCATATGATGGTGAGGCGCACGCTGATGTATCGAAAGTTGTTATTGGTTCGTGTGAGGAGATTCCAGGAGGCCAGTTCCTCAGAAGAGAAGCGCTGAGTCACCTGATCCTCCACAATGTTCTCAATGCCTTTCTTACAGAAATAGAAGGCGTCACACAGCGTAAAGTTTCCCTCTGCCAGATTTTTAGGATGAGAGCGACGCAGCTCTACAATTTCCTCTTCCATAGATCCGTCATCTTTCTCGATGATCCCTATAAAACACATGTTGAATTTGAAATGAGACAAGTCAAAACAGAAACCTACATATGGCAAACATTAGTTTTTTTATATCTATATATTTTGAAGTGTTTTTCTACGGAAGGATTTTTTTCTACATAATTTGCCTGATTATTATACAGTGCATTTTATTTCACAAAACTGTTGGGGTGAAAAAGGAATCCCAAAATGCCTTTTGTAACAACGTCTCGCTGCAATGTCAAAAAGAAACCTCGTTTCTCGTTGGCCTTCATCTAATGTACAGAATTCTGTGCAACACACTGCATAAGAAAGCTGCGATAAACATCTAGAGTCATCAGTATCCTAAGTTTTTGACTTTTACTTAAATAAAAAAGACTCTTTTTTTGTCCAGTCAGAGTTTTATTTCAAAAGTGTCTTGAGGTCATGATTCATACAACCTAAAATGTCTGTAAAGCTGGGTAAAGTTCATAAATAAGCTCAACTGAAATTATGAAATGTGTCACTTGCTGCAATAGCAGTTACAGTAGGTTAAACACACTGACAGGCATCAGGCCAATAACAAAAGCAAGGACATTATTTTCCTTCTCTATTTGAAAAGTGTCAACTAAACAGGAAGATAGAACTAAGGATAGAACTAAAACCTCTTTTGTTTCTTTTAGGGATGCCCATAATAACCAATTAACCGTTAACCGAAAGGGTGCGTTTTTAACCAATTGATGGTATCAGTTAAACGATTTAAAAATATTATTATTGCTGGGTTTTTTTTTTTTTTAAGTTTGGCTGCATAAATGTGCAACACATATTTGTTAACTCACGGGATGGTGTAACACATGCAACCACACATGCCTACAGACCTATTTTTGCCAGAGAAGCAAAATAAAAGGACATTGCTGGTCACAGTTTGACACAGACAAGTTGATGCCAAACCAGTGCTGATGGTGATGCCTCTCTCTTGGATCCGAGACATAAACACCTCCGTTTATTTACACAATTGGACAAAAAAGTAAGATTTAGTGTACAACCAACAAACCAACTTTTTCCATTTGAAAAATTACAGTTTATAGTGTAGTTCTTATAAAATATCCATTTTAAAAATAGCTTACATAGCCTAATCTACAAATCCGACAAATCCAACGACTTGATAATGATACAGTATCTCCGTATGTTCTGTATGCTGTTGTTCACATGTTAAAATAAATCAGGATTTTAAAATGCAATATTTAATGTGTCAGACACAAAATAGACACATTAATTCATATTTTTAAAATAAAATAATAATGTTATATTGATCCGTTAACATTCGGTTAACAAGCAGCAGTTGTCGGTTGGCAAAATTAACCGAAATGAAGGGGCTAATAATTTTGACCTTAAAATGGTTTTAAAAAAATTTAAAGCTGCTTTTATTCTAGCCGAAATGAAACAAATAAGACTTTCTCCAGATGAAAAAATATTTTAGACTAAATACTTCATTTTATACTGTCAAAATTTCCTTGCTCCGTTAAACATCTTTTGGGAAATATTAAAAAAAGAAAAAATCAAAGGGGGACTTTTGTAGTCATATCAATTCACTTACAATGCTAACACTAAACAACAAAAGGAGCAAATTAAATCTGACATGTTAATTATTATCTAACAGTTGTCCTCAACAAAATGAAGAGGAAGCTGTGGCTTCACATGACACTGTCCTAACATCATCATGAAATCAAACCTTTGTATGCACATGATGTCTTGCTTGCATTGACAGATTTTCTCTCACCGTTAGCTAGCTGTAATGGCAGTGTTGGCTGTTCTTTCTGTCCTCTTTGGATCCTGAGAGTGGCCCACTGGAATAAAGAACAAGTTTATTTTCAGGTAACCTTTGACACGTTTCCTTAACTGACAATAATGGGTTTTATTCAACAATCTCATGACAATTTGTAACTTTTTTTAATCAGTCGTGAATTTTGAATTAATGTATATAATCTTATCAGTACATTTTAGTAAGATTTGCTTATCCCGCAATGATGGCTGGGGTTTGGGGGCATGCCATACATTTTCATATGTTTTCACACAACTGAAATTACATGAATTTGTATGAATTGGCCACTTTTCTGACAACAATACATAAACAAGTGATGTTTCCCATGTAATAGTCATGATATGGCTGGGTTTTATTCATTTTGACCCTCATTTGCAAGTTTGTTTTGACATGATTTTCATAAGTTTCATGTAAAAACAAAACATCCAAAATACATCCAATAAATTTTTGGCTCTTTATCAAATTTCTATTACAATACACTTAACAAATGCTGTTTTCTCAAACGTTTTCAGTAACAATTTAGGTCACAATTCACGCTACTGGTGTCGCGTTTGAATGCAAGAAAACAGACCCAGTTGCAGCAATAAACAATACAAAGGGGTTTGTTGACAGAATAAGGCGCAAGTAGACATACAGGGGGATGATAAGGTCCAAACGGTAGGGGCAACAACACAAGGAAGCCAGTGGAAGTGACAAGATAGTACTAAAATGAACAGCCAGCCAGGAGTAGGAGCAACAGTGGTCAAAACCAGATCTAGATCCTGGAGCAGGCCACCTAAACTCCAGACTATCAGACCAGGGAGGTCAGGACACGGAATAGGACTGTAAAATTATAAGACACAAGACAGGACAACAAACAGACAGTGATAATATACAATATGATAAAATAAAATCTAAATACTAGAAGACAGAAAGACAGACTTTAGCAATCTGATAAAACAAAACTGAAATAAAGACTTTTAGAATCTTAAAGAGAGTAATTAAACAAATCAAACAACTACTAATAATTATCTACTAAGAAGACTGGGACTGACAGAAAAACGGAACAATGGCTCTAAGGGTAAAAGTAAAATAAAGATTAGAACACAAAATAAAGTAAACACTAGAAACAACGAAAGAAAGTAATAGCTACAAACAAACAATAAATAGACAAGCGATCTAGAACAGGCAAGACCAAAAGCTTAGTACAGATGCAAGGCAAGGATACAAGACAAGCTCACATGGAACGAACCAGCAAAGAAATGAGAACACACAGCACATTATATAGAACAAAGCACACAGGAGACAGGTGAAAACAATCAGGATAACAAGGTCTAAATAAGAGGGCGGGGTATTTGAAAGCAAGGAGGAAAGACAAGAGGAGCACATGGCCAACACAAATTAAGACTTAGCAATGTAAATATGCACAGGACAAACAAGCAAACATTAAACACTGACAGGACAGACAAGACTGTCAGGTCAGGACCATGACAACTGGCTTATAACCTGCTTATTATTAAGATAATAACTGTTTATTATTAGTTATAAAGTATGATCTTATTCTACATCCATTATCCATACCCAAAACTAACCCAACCTTTACCTTACTTACTATTAATAAGCAGCTAATTAGTAGTAATGAGCTAGTGATAAGCTTAACACTTCAGCAGCACTGACATACACCTATATAGTCTATAATGTTTTTACCGGTGACTATGTCCATACACATTTTGCCTAATTACGGATTTTAAAAATAAATACAACATTTATCATAATTTTTCTGGCTGATTACAGTATTTATGGAGTTATAATACCCGGAGAAACCAAAAATCCTCCCAGTAAAATTGTGTGCCTCTAAAATGTATTGGTTTATTGGTAGCACTTTCGTTGAAGTCACAGTTCATGCTATCAAGAAACCATTATAACTAAGACTATTAGCTCAATAAACTGCTAATTAGCTGCTTATTAATGGCTAGTAAGGTGGAAGCTAGTTTTAGATTTGGGGTGGGATTGAAGATTTGGAATAAAATCATACTTTATAACTACTAATGAACAGTTAATAATGCAATAATAGGCAGGTAATACGCCAGAAGTTAATAGTAATTTAACTGTGACTTAAACTAAAGTGTTACGTAAAGTAAATTTGAACCTATTTTCATTCCGTGTTGAGATTTTTGTGCTATGTATTTCATAACTGTAATCATTCAGCTGGGTATGGTGATAACTATTAATTTATTTACATTAGTTGAGGTATTCATTTCTGGCTTGTTTTATGCAACACAATGCATGCCACATTCAGACTACTAATGAATTGACTATCAGATTTTAATACTAAAAACAAAATCCCCGGACAATGACGTTTATTTTAGTCTCATGCCTTTTGACCCTCTTTTGCAAGTTTGTCTTGGCATCATCTGTTTCTAATATGTCAAAGTACAAAACTTTTTTTCTTTTTTAAGTTTGCACATGGATTTAATTCACATATTATGAGCAACTATCTTTTTTTGTTTTGTTTTATACATTGTAAGCAATAGTTATTTGTATTTCTTTTTTTTACCTCAAGTGTCTTAACCAGCAGCTTGATGTAGATGTCTGTGAAGCCCAGGGACACACCGAACATAGCAGGTAACACGATGAGACCCGCTACTATGGACATCCACACATGGAGAAGCACGAAAGCGACGTCCCAAGCACCTTCCATCATCTCTGCTGTCCCGTCTGTCTGCCTGTCAGTCTATGGGGCCGGCCATCTGAACAAGTCCTTAAAGCAAGAAGCCAAAACAGAGGACAATGATGTAATCAAATGTACGGCCTCTGGGAATTTTTTATTTTTTATGTGGTTAAGCTATTTCTCTATTACTGAACAATGCATGACTATTTATTTTTATTTATTTATTTCTGCTGAGTTCACCTTAAAATAATGTGTATATATGCTTAAATCACTAATATAAAAATGCTCGGCTCAATTGATTTTCATCTGTTGCATAAAAAAAATGCATGTGTTTGTTGTACTTTGATATCATTTTAACTTTATTATTATAATTAATATTACTAATAATACTATATGTATTAATTAATTGTTTAATTTTAAATATGTTTTAATTAAAATATCAAACAGCTTTTTAAAACTTATTATTATTTCTCATTATTTTTCACTGTTAAAAATGTAGATTCTTCATGTTGTCCCAAAACAAATCTATTAAGTTAGGTTAATCTTTTTTACAAATTTGAGTGGATGGAACAAATATTTAAGTTGTCCCCCCAAAAAAACTGTGTTGTTTCATCTAATTTTACATACATACTTTGAATAAACAGCAAAAGTAATTTATTTGAGTGTTGTCTGTTTATATAATAGTATTATTTTCCTATGTTTATTATTGCTTCAGCTAATACGCCTAAAACTGTAGCAAACATTTTTTCTTATTTATATTTTTAGGATATATGGCTAATAGCTTTTATTAAATGTAAAAATAAATTGTTAAATATTCATAAAAAATTCAAAAAGCTGCTTTCTTATTGTATTTAGTTTCAAATAAAATTACTCCAGTATTATTGCCTTTATTACTAAAACATATAACATTAATAATAATAATAATATTATTATAGTGATTTCTGAAGGATCGTGTTACTCTAATGTGACTGGAGTAATAAAAATCATCTTTAAAATCACTTTAATAATTAAAATTGTAAACTAGTTTAGAACAGTTATTTTTAGTGCAATAGTATTTCACAATTTGTACTGCATTTTTTATTAAATAAATGCAGCCTTGGTGAGCAGGATAAGCTTATTTTAAAACATTTAAAAATCCTACTGACCCCAAACTTGGAAGTGTGTGTACAATGTTAATAAGATAACAGTAATCACAGCTATTGGCAAAAATTATCATATAGAAACAAAGCAAAAATAGCATAATTATTACACCCCAAATGACATGCAGAAATAATAAAAAAAATGTTTCTTTATATGTATGCTCTTTTTTTTCTCACCTTTACAACATTTTTGACTAATAACTAGTGATTATGTTATTTGTTTTATGATGTTGTTGGCTGCAGTAATTTTGCCATTTTTACTTTTATTATAATATGTCAATTCAAGTTTATGCTTTATACATTTTACACTTCTAGCTTTTGAGAAACCAAGAAGAGCCACATATTAATAAATAATGTTATGATAGCGGTTTTAACATAAAGTTTTAATTTAATTGCTTCTTGATACAGTTATGAAATAGTTTCACAACAAGTACGTTAATGGGCCAATGACATGACCACATTGAAATGGTCTATAGGTGATGTACTGTGTTTACATGTTCAATCAAGTGTTTGTGCTTGCTGTATGACAGTTTGTAAGTAACAGCTGTAATAATCGTGCGGTATTTTCAGTTATTTCAGTAAGTCTTAGTAATAACCGTTGTATTATGTTTAATTTGCTTTCATGACAGTTGTGGCTTGCTATAAGTTAACGTTACACGTAATTTTGGTATTCATATAACTTTTTTCTTTACGTCTTTTGTGGCTTTAATGCTTGTGGTGTTTGGATTTAGATAGCATTTGTATCTGTATAACTTGTTAAACGTTTTTATTATAATGTGTCTTTGTTTATAACATTGTTGGCGAATAGCGATGAATGCTACAATACAATAACAGTGGCATTTCGGCGGAAACTGAATGCAAGGGTCTGCAATCCTGCATTAGTCCCAGACACTCTTCCTGAAACCGCTAACGTGCAAGTAAGGCGTATTATCTCATTACATTTCTCCTAGAAACTACAAACTATAACGTCTACAAATAAAATAGTTATGGTAAACTTTAAAAGCTTGAGTTGTCCGTCAGTTTCTTTCCGTTATAAGAAACCGTTGTGCCATAGAGCGTAACAACAGTATCACATGAGCAGCAAAACAACAGCAACCCAAACAAAGATTAAGATTCAGCTCACACACCTTCACAACACCGACTTAATATTCATCTCTTCGTTCCATCCAGACGACTGAAGTTGATGTTGCATATACTGTATGTCCCAAATCCCGAACAGTATGTCCCCAAAAAAAGTTCTCGTGTTACTGGTTACAAAGTTCGGGCGCATATGGTTATGAATGATGCAGCAGCGCCTCCTGGTGGTAAACACGCTGGTGTCACATTTCAAAATATTTGATTAATGTTTTTTTTTACCTTTACCAAATTAAAAAATGTCATGTTTTTACTTATATGACGACAAATTCATACAACAGACACGCATTAAAAGGGATAATCACCCTATAATGAAAATTTTGCCATCATTTTCTCTCCACCCCTTCTTTACCTTAGTTGAACATAAAACAAAATAAAACAAGACACAAGAAACACTGAAGAATGTTGCCGGTGTAACACTATAATACTGTGACCATTGAAATCCCCCTCTGATATGTGCACCTATTAACTGAAATCGATGAAATAATAATAATAATAATAATTACAGAGTTATGACACTAATAAGAGTGACTGGGTGAGTTGGAACCCTTCTCTTACAGAAGATAAATAAAACAGATTGACTTTAAAATTAAGTTTTAAGAAATTAAATTGAGATTAAGTCATTGTTTAATGTGTGGTTTAGTTTAAAACAGCAACAACAATTTTATGTGTTCCATGCAGCTTAAATGTCTGTCTAATAATTTTAAGCTATACACTACAATCAATATTAATATTTTACATTTATTTGTAAACATAGTGCGCTGTTCTTGTTTTATCCATCAAAATAATAATCATTTTACGTTTTATTTAATTATGCCTTTTGATTTTTTTAAACGTAAACCAGTGCTGCCAACTTTTGGTTTGAATTGAATAGTGAGAATTTAAGCTGTGCCCCCAAACCACGCACCCACACTAACCCCCAACCACATCTGCTTTTAAATTTATAAAATTGTTAAGTATAATATTTTAACAAATACTTTTTATAAAATATTTATTGAAAATAAAAGTGTTATTATCAATATACAATTGTTCTAATCTAAATAATTAAAAGAAAGAAAAAAAAAACAATTCTAAATTCTAAAGTCAAATTCTACAAAAGTCGATGGCTACAAGTTTCCAACTTTCACACTGTTTTCAAAAATTCTTGTGATTTAACTGAAAAATTAAACACAAAAGTTTACAACAATAAGTGGATGAGTGCATGGTGAAATAACTAACATTTTTTTTGCAAACTTTAATTTTAAGGTGAGAATATAATTGTTTATTTACTGCGGTACTATCTTTGCCAAAACAGCAATAAATCTACTTGTATGCTACACAAAATATTGCACATTTTAACATTTAAATAATTTTACTCCTATTTTATTTACTTATTTATTAATTTTCCTTCTGCTTAGTCCCTTTATTAATCTGGGGTTGCCACAGCGGAATGAACCGCCAACTTATCCAGCATATGTTTTACACAGCGGATGCCCTTCCAGCTCCAAACCATCTCTGGGAAACATTATAAATATCACATTTAAATAATTAATTATTATTACATTTTAAATAGTGTATAATAATCCAATGTGTTATTCTAATACAGTTTTACAGAATCCTAAATAAACGACTAACTAAATCAGCGTTAGCTTACTGGAAAGTATAATAATTAAAACATTGGACAACCATTGAATCCCAGAGTATCAGTTTTTGCTTTGTTTGCCCAAAATTTCCTCTGCAAATAAATAATAATAATAATAGTTTCGACTTTTAAAAACACTTTTATTGACGTGAAAAGCAAAAACTCATAAGTAAGTCTGGTTACAAATATTTATTCATTTTCTGTCTGCTTAGCCTCTTTATTAAACTGGGGTCACCACAGCAGAAAGAACCGCCAATTTATCCAGCATATATTTTACACAGCGGATGCCCTTCCAGCTGCAACCCAGCACTGGGAAACACCTATACATTCTCTCATTCACACGCACACTCATACACTACAGACAATACAGTTTATTCTATTCACACAGTGCATGTCTTTGGACTGTGAGGAAAACCGGAGCACCCGGTGAAAACCCATGCCAACACAGAGAGAACATGCAAACTCCACACAGAATTGCCAACTGACCCAGCTGGGGCTCGAACCAGCAACCTTCTTGCTGTGAGGCTAAATAATATATTATTTAATTGAAAATTTGTAATTATTGTATACAGTCTACAGTTTCACTCATTCATTCATTTTCTTGTTGGCTTAGTCCCTTTATCTGGGGTCAGCGGAATGAACTGCCAACTTATCCAGCACGTTTTTACGCAGCAGATGCCCTTCCAGCCGCAACCCATCTCTGGGAAACATCCACACACACACACACACACACACACACACACACACACACACACACACACACACACACACACACACTACGGACAATTTAGCCTACCTATAATACAGTTTTACAAAATCCTATATAAACGACTAGAAATCAGCGTTAGCTTACTGGAGAATATAATAATGAAAACACGTGACAACCATTAAATCTCAGCAGTTCAGTTTTGCTTTGTTTGTCCAAAATTCCCCTGCAAATAATATATTACGTCACAACTTTTCTAGAAACACTTTTATGGGCATGAAAAGCGAAAACTCATCAGAAAAATCTGCTCACAAATATAGTGTTACCCGTAATAAAGTAGTTTGGCCAAAGTGGTTTCTCTCTAGCTCTTTTTATTTCCTTCACTTTCGTCAATTGATGAAGTTTGTTCCTCGCTGCTGTCACCACTGCATTGCTTGTTATGGGATTTGTGGAGCTGCGTATCAATGGATTTGCTTTTCAGTGTTTGGACTTTCAGCAGTGAAAATTAACCCACACTGAACTGAACTAAACTGAACTTTAACTCTGAAAACTGGACTGACACAGTTTCAACTGACAAGAACAACGCTTTAAAAAGGATCCACAATTGAATAATTCTTCCGCACCAAGTGGTGGCAGCATACGCAAACATTCGTCAGTAAACTCCCTCTACGAGACAACAGAATAACTAAACGAAACCTACGAGCGCAGAAAGTTTATACATGTAACCCATTAACTCTAACCTTAAACCATGACGGTGCGATAATTAACCCACGGTTTAGTCCAAAAGCATGGAGGAATTCAACACAACTGTCCGTATATCAGGTTTCGTGTTGAGTTCACTGATGTTTCATCATTTGAACAGTGATGCGGATGTGGTAACGTAGACTAACCATATTCCGTACACAACGATGTTCCGTACAGATGACCTTTTAACGTTAATCTCTGAATAAATACTTATGGGTCGTAGGCAAGCTATATATCTGTGTAATCTTAAATTCTCACTCTTTCAGCCCCAACAACAACAGAGACATTCCTACAATATGTTTCCGAGTAAAATCAGTAAGTTTGCTACGTCCACCTAATGCGCTTGAAAATAGAAAGTGGGCAAGCTTAAAGTGCAAGTGTCGCCTGGGAGGGGAGACATTTAAAGCCCCGACAATATGCTTTTGCATTTAATTTATGCATCACACGGTATTACAGTTCTTATGAAGTGAATATTATGTTATCACAAATTGTTAAATAACTTATCTTTTGTTGAATAAATGCCTTGAAATTTGGATGTTTAAACATCAATCGTGGGTAAATACCGCATGTCGCAACTCTCCGCCGGAGAGATAGGCTGCAAACGCTGTTTGGATCCTCCTTTTGCAGTAATGATGTTTATATTCATAAAAGGTCAGTCAAGTTAGCTTCAATGTGCATGAATTTAATGTTTTAATATTTTAAATTGTCATGCTGTAATAAAATAAACATGATATAAAAAGTAAATGATTTTTGAAGCTATTTCATTTAAAATTTTCATAAAATAGTTATTTAATATATCATTAACTTCAAGTTAAACACAATAATGGTATATTCTGACATAAGATTTTAATAGGACTTAAAACAATGCCCATTTTTGCCGAAAATTAAAGTTATGCGCCCTGTACGGAACACTATTTTAGTCGTGTACGGAACACCGTTAATACCTATCATCTTCCGTACACATGCGAAGGCAGTACTTGTCCCATCTTTTCTCAAAAACTACTGGTCCAAAAGACATCAATCAAGATTTGGATTGTGCAATAGGTATTCCCCCAGAGAATGAACACACAAGCATGCTTATCTGGCTTTCAATGACGGAGGAGTGGCCGTTTGAGTGCGCTGAATAGCGAAAAGTGTACGGAACATGGTTAGTCTACGTTAAGTGGCAGAAATCCCAACCTAACCATCTGATTATTGGTTTTGCATTAAACGATAATCTAAACGTCTACTAAGCAGTTCTTCACTCGTAACTTGTGTTTAATGCTGTGCTTTGCTTAAAGGAAGGTCTTATTCTCGGAGAGAGTGTTGGAGAGGAGAACTGCAGGATCACAGACTCCCAAATTGATCACATTCAGTTTGAGCACACTTTGAGTAAGTTGACTTGAATTTCCTTTGGGGGTTTTCATATGATGGTCACAAACTAAAACCCAAAGTTTAACCAGGAAGAAATATCTCATGATCGATGGCAGCCGCAACTACTAAACTAGTGTCATCATTATGTTATTCCCCATTTTGCAGATATTCAGAAACACATTCCTTGTCATAAACTACACAGGTAAGTTGATTGTTGTACTAACATTATGCAAACCTCATATAAAGCATTGGTTCTCAACTGGTTTTGCAGGGATATTACGTTACATTTAGGCATCAATTATTTAGTGTAGTTTATTCATTTATAAAGTGCAATAAACAACAGTTGCTGACCATTGTGCTGTACAAACTTAAAATCAAATGATCAAAAGTAGACAGTGACCGATAAAACAACACAGGATACATACAATTTATCATCTATAGATAACGATACACCAGATAGGTACAATAGGATCCGTTTTCTCCCAATTTAAAAGCTCTTTCTAGGAGGTGTAGTTTAAGTTTCCCTCTGAACAAAGATTTATTGGAAATTGTTCTAATGGATATAGGTAGCCCGTTCCACACTTTAGAACTTACTAGAAACCTTGATCTCCTTTTTTTTTTAATTTGGATCTTGGAACGACTAGCATTTTCTGCTCCAATGACCTTAAACATCTGCCAGATATTTGAACAGTTATAAGATTAGAGAGATAAGTCGGAGCCTGGTCAT